TGGGCCAAGGCACAAGGACTCGGTTTATTGCAGCCCTCGGAAAGGTGGGTCAAGCCTTGTCCCTGTGGAGGTCTTGTCTGAGCCCAGTTCTACCCTGTCCCTGCCCGGGAAAGGTAAGGGAGGACCCCTCCCTTTTGTGACAGGCCCTGTTGGCACAATGAGTTCCTTATTTAACCCGTGAAATCAGCATCGATTGCCTCTGTTTTACAGATTGGCAAACTGAGGCTGAGGGAGGTGAAGTGGTTTGTGCTGTGTAACTGCTCTAATACACAGCCAAGGTGGAGTCTGAAATGGATCCAGGTTCAGTTTCCTTTGCATGGCCGCGCGCCGGTGTGTGTGAGAAACGGTGCACACTTACACGCCATTTCATCACAACCCAAAAACCCAAAAGGCACTTTGGGCTGTATTTTACACATTAGGAAACTGGCTCAGAAAGGTCAAGCATCTTGTCCACGCTGGGTAGCAACTCCGTGGCACAGACAGCTGAGTCTCCTGCTTCTCAGCTCACGGTGCTGCCCTGCCTGGGTGGTCCCTATGGTTTCCATGGTCTGTGCCAGTCTGGCTTGGCACTGGGGTGCCCTGGGGCGTCCCTCCTGGCACAGTTCTCCAGTGGCGTGAGGTCTGGAGAGGGCGTCTGTGCGCCTGAGCTAGCACAAAAGCCCCTTTCGCCCGCCAGCCTGGGCCTGGGCCCAGAGCCAGGACAGGGACCCGGCGGTGACCCAGGCCTCCCACGCAGACCCGCAGCATGGCCTGGCTCTCCCGGGGCCGCCTGTGCCAGCAGGAGAATAAAGTCCCAGCTTCCTGGTACAGTGGGGCCCTTGGGGTAAATAAGAGGCCCATCAAGCAGGGCCTGGCAGCAGCGAGGGCACTGGGAGGGTGGGTTCTCCTGGCTGCTGAACTCTCCATGACCTGGGGTGAGGTGGTGTTGGGGTGCGAGCCTGGGGTCCCAGCACTCTGGGAAGCTGAGGCAGGAGGATATAGCAGGTTTGAACCCAGCCTGCAAAACTCAGGGAGACCTTAGCTCAAAATAAATGAACAAGATGGGGGTGTAGGTGGGGTGAAGGCCCTGGGTTTGATCCTCAGTATGGTAAAAAATAAATAAGTAAAGGGAGTTTCCCTGTGACAGCTCTGGGGCACCAGTGTCTGGTTCCTGTCACTTGATGCTGGCACGAAGGGGTGCTATTCCCCCCATTCCCATTGCCCCTTGGGTCCCCTGGAGGAGCCTTAGCCTGCTCCAGATCTCAGGCTGGTCACGCGTGGGATCCAGAGCCCAGCTCTTCCCCTCTCAGGAAGCCATGGGGCCCAGGCCGGGACTGCCCAGGGTGCCTGGTCCCTGCCTTGAAAGCTTCCCTTGTTGCAGCTGAAACCTCCTCTCTGCCCCCGGCCCTGGAATGTGCCCTGGGCGGGGTCTGGGCCCCTGAACAGGTGGGGCAGGTGGTAGGGTGTGGGAATGAAGCCGGGCTTTGTTCCCCACAGCCTGGGAGCCGAGTCCGCTCTGGGACAGCTCTGGGGATGGGGTTCTGCCCCGGGGAGCCAGTTGGGCAGGGCTATTTCCATTTTGCTGGTTGGTAAACTGAGGGGAGTGGTACTTCGAGCACCCTGGTGGGAAGGAGGCACTGAGGGCAGTCCCAAGGCCCCGGCTGTGTCCTGGGTCCCCGGCTCGTGGGATGACGGTGGGTGGCCCGGGACCCGGGTCAGTGACCAAGCCAGGAAGCTGCCCTGGCCCCGGGAGGGAGGGAAGGCCCATGCGGGGCACCTGCCTGGCCACAAGGCAGAGGTCTGGTGCCAGTGAAGATGCCCGGCCCTGGGCTTCCCTGCAGCTGAACTGAAATCAAGGGCTTGGGACCCAGCTCCGGGGGCAGCTGCTGACCTTGGCCTGCACTGGGGAGCAGGGGGGCCGCCTGGCCTTCTCTCAGTGACAAGGAGTCACCCCTGGGTTAATTGCTGGGGCCGTGGTGTCTGCAGTTTTAACAAGCCAGCACTGGTAGGTTGGGTTTGATTATTTTTCTTTCCCTCTCACTGGCCAGGTGGTGATACTACACTGTCTGGGCCCGGCCCTCACCTGCAGCTGTTTCTCTGCCGAGATGTGGGTCTGAGAGAGGGGCCCCATCTCCGGCCCTTCCTAGCTGTGCCATCCCCTCTCTTGAGTCCTGATGTCATTCCTTGTGGATGTGGGCAGGATCAGAGGGGACAGGGGCTGCTGCATGTGGTGCCTAACAATGAAAACAGGCATGCACAATGGCTCATGCCTGTTATCCCAGCATTCTGGAAGCTGAGGCAGGAGGATCGCTTGAGTTCGAGGCTAGCCCGGGCTACAGAGTGAGTTTGAAACAAGAACGCTTGCATTGCCCAGTGGGGGTCAGCTACAGACAGGGATGTGACTGAGCCCAAGGACACAGAAGGCTCACAGATATGTTTTGATGTCCCAGGACACAGCCCCTCCTGGCAGGGGCCTCTGAGTCCCAGGTGCTGCAGAAGCAGCCCATGATCACCCCCTCAGTCAATGGGAAGCCAGGAGGTGGCAGGACAGGGCAGGACCCCTGGGCCTTAGAATACTGTGGGTCCACCTGGGACCTGGTTGTGCACACCCGTCATCCCAGCACTCTGGGAGACTGAGGCAGGAAGACTGTAAGTTCGAGCCCAGCCTGGGCAACTTGGTGATTTAGTGAGCTCCTATCTCAAAATGAAAAATAAAGAAGGGCTGGGGACATCGCTCAGTGTGAAGAGCCTGGGTTCAGTTGCCTGCCTTGTGACCAACAGAGTCAGGGCTTGAACCCCAGCCTGCGGGACTCCTTGGTTATGCAGCTGTGGGCCAGGTACAGTCTGTCCGTGGCTACGATGCCTTGGCCTCCAGGCCCCTGGTGCCCTCCACCTGCCCGCTGGCCCTCCCTGCTGTCTCCCTCCGTAGCCTGCTGCCTGGGGTTAATCGGTCTGCTGTGCTGCGACATGCCCCACGTGCCTGTCAGGAAGGCAGGGGCTTTCTGGGCCCCCCGGCCTTATCTGCGGGGTCTGCCCGGACAGGCCCGCACAGGCAGCGGTTCAGGGATGTGTGCAGCTGCAGGTGGGGGCTCATCCGTCAGCTGCCTGGCAGCCGAGCCCCGAGGTGTTTGCAAGCCAGGCCGGGCTGTGGGGTGTGTCCCCACAGGCCCCCCCTGTCCCTCGAGCGGGAGAATTCGGGCAGGGACGGGCCCTGAGTGCGGCAGCTGTCTGGGGGGAAGGGGAGAGCGCCGGCGGCCAAAGCCGCCTCACTGCTCTAACGGGAAGGACGGAGGCTTGGGGACCGCGAGGGAGGAACCTGCAATCCAAGTGTTAAATCTGTGGCCCAGGGCGAAGCGCCATTAACTCTGAATCATCTCTTTTGTTGCATTAAAAAAAGAAGAAAAGAAAAACTGCAGGCAGCCACGTGGAGGTGTGTAGGCTGCTGTGCTGGGGGCAGGGCTGGCTCCGATCCAGGGAGGAGCCGCCCACAGCCCCGCGGAGGGTACATAAGGAGCCCCCGGCCGCGAGGCGAGGCTGCCCGCTCCGGTTCCGTCCAGTGCATCACCTACCAGCGTCTCTGGTGTTTGCGGAGGACCCGCCGCGCGCTGCCTGGCCATGACCACCGCGCTCCTGCAGTCTTCTTCCTCCACCTTCGGGGGCGGCTCTGCCCGAGGGGGCTCGCTCCGGGCCGGGGGAGGCGGCTTTGGCGGGGGGAGCCTGTGCGGTGGAGCAGCAGGGAGCCGCAGCATTTCGGCTTCTTCCGCTAGGTTTGTGTCAGGGTCGGCGGGAGGCTACGGGGGCGGCATGAGCTGCGGCTTTGGTGGTCATTTCGGCTTCTTCCGCTAGGTTTGTGTCAGGGTCGGCGGGAGGCTACGGGGGCGGCATGAGCTGCGGCTTTGGTGGCAGAGCAGGTGGCGGTTTCGGCGGAGGTTTCGGAGGCGGCTTGGGTGGGGGTTTTGGCGGTGGCTTTGGTGATTTTGGCGGTGGCGATGGTGGTCTCCTTGGTGGCAACGAGAAGATCACCATGCAGAACCTCAACGACCGCCTGGCCTCCTACCTGGACAAGGTGCGGGCGCTGGAGGCGGCCAACGCCGACCTGGAGGTGAAGATCCGCGACTGGTACCAGAGGCAGGGTCCAGCCAGCCCGGAGCGGGACTACAGCCGCTACTTCAAGGAAATCGAAGAGCTCCGGGACAAGGTGGGCCTGAGGGACAGCGGAGCAGATGGCTCTGGGGCAGGGTGACGGCTGGCTGGGGCTTCTCGCTGCCCAGGCGGTGGCTCTGCGTCCTTGGGATGCACAGCTGTTCTGCTCAGGGGTGCAGGGAGGAAGGGCCTTGCGATCCCGTCAGGGCCGAGGGCACAGATGGGCCCCTGGCCAGCCTGCCCCTGCCCCCTGCAGGAGGACCGGGCGTCGTGCTCCCTCCATGCCAGCACCTCACACCTCACCCTTTGAGGATGTCTGTCCCCCGTGCCCAAAGCACTACCAGGATGCGGGGGACCCCTGATTCTGCACCTCCCTTGCCCTTCCTTGAACTCATGGCACCAGCTTGCTGAGGCTGGAGGGGTGTCTCAAGAGCACCCTTGTCTGAGCTCACGCTCCCCACCCCACGAGGAGCAGAGGCTGTGGCTGAGGGCCCCACCGTGGGCTCAGGCCCGGGAGCGGTGGGGGTGGCAGTCCTTGGGCACAGCTCCCTGCCTCCCACAGATCATGGCTGGCACCATCGACAACTCCCGGGTCATCCTGGAGATTGACAATGCCAGGCTGGCCGCAGACGACTTCAGACTCAAGTGAGCTCCACGGCACTCCCTCCCCACCAGGGTTGCGCCCTTTACCCAGCTTTCCTGCCCCTGCTGACCTTGGGCTCCTTCTCTTAACAGGTACGAGCACGAATTGAACCTGCGACAGACAGTGGAGGCCGACATCAACGGGCTGCGCAGGGTGCTGGACGAGCTGACCCTGGCCAGGGCCGACCTGGAGATGCAGATCGAGGGCCTGAACGAGGAGCTGGCCTTCCTGAGGAAGAACCACGAGGAGGTGGGCCGTGCAGGGCTGCGGGTGTAGAAGAGTGGGCCGAGCTGCCTGTGCCCTGGGGAGCTTCGAGCTCTGCCTCCTGAGCGGACACAGCTGTGTCAGGGAAGGAGAGACCCACACACCGGAGGGACCCTGGCGGCCGAACCTTTTCTTGCACCACAAGGGGCACAGGGTCAGGGTGGGTGCGGTGTGCGGAGGGACAGAGCCACGACTGGGTCCTTCCTAATGGGCCTCCCCACCCCACAGGAGATGAAGGAGTTCAGCAGCCAGCTGGCCGGCCAGGTCAACGTGGAGATGGACGCAGCCCCGGGTGTGGACCTGACCCGCATGCTGGCCGAGATGAGGGAGCAGTACGAGGCCATCGCGGAGAAGAACCGCAGGGACGCCGAGGCCTGGTTCTTCAGCAAGGTGGGCTGCTCCCCGCCCCACCAGGGTCCCCGCCGGGGTCTCTGAGGCCTCTGGGGGGCTCATACCGTGTGTGGCCCCACAGACGGAGGAGCTGAACAAGGAGGTGGCCTCCAACACGGAGATGATCCAGACCAGCAAGACGGAGATCACGGAGCTGCGGCGCACGCTGCAGGGGCTGGAGATCGAGCTGCAGTCGCAGCTGAGCATGGTAGGGCCTCCGCCTCCCACCAGGCTCCCTACTTAGCGCCCTCTGTGGTTTTCTGTGCAGCCTGATGCATCTGCCTATGACTCTGTCCCCACCAGAAAGCCGGGCTGGAGAGCACGTTGGCGGAGACCGAGTGCCGCTATGCCACACAGCTGCAGCAGATCCAGGGCCTCATTGGGGGCCTGGAAGAGCAGCTGGCTCAGCTGCGCTGCGAGATGGAGGCCCAGAGCCAGGAGTACAACATGCTGCTGGACATCAAGACGCGGCTGGAGCAGGAGATCGCCACCTACCGCAGCCTGCTGGAGGGCCAGGACGCCAAGTACGGCACAGGCACTGCCCGGGGCCAGGGTGCAGGGCCGCTGAAGGGGCAGCAGGGCTCTCTCAGCCAGCAGTGCCATACAGCAGGGCGGGAGCTGAGCTAGGAGCCAGGGGTCTGGACTCTGCACTTTCATCCTAGGCTGTCCCCTGGGGTGGTCGCTTCCTGAGGGACCTGTGCTGCTTTTGCAGTGGGCAGCCAGGGGCGTGGTCTCCAGGATCTAGAGCTCAGAAAGGGTGCTCCTGGCCCTCCTCCTGCCTATGGGGGCTGGAGGGATTGCACAGCAATCCATGGGCTCCCCTTAGGGAGATGTGTGCTGTGGCCTCTGCTTACATCTGCTCCCCTCTTTCAGGATGGCGGGCATCGGCACCCGGGAAGGTAGGAAGGCTTCCCTCTGCCGGGCGGGGTGGGGAGCAGAGCCGTGGGATGCAGAAGGGGAGACCAGGCTTCCCAGGGCAGGGGAGCCCCCTCCCGGGATGCAGCCTTCCAGGGCGTGGCAGGTGCCCAAGGGTGAGATGCCCACAATTGCTCAGCCCCATGTGCAACCCCCAAACCTCCTTCACCTGGGGCAGCCAAGTAACCGAAGCACCACCAGTAATTCTACACCTGGCCTCCCATGGCTCCGAGGACCCGCCCAGTGGCTGATCACAGCTGCTGTCCAGTTTCCCCATAGCCCACTGTGCTGAGAGTGGGGGGCGGCCCACCGGCTCAAGGTGCCCCTTCTTTCTGTAGCTGCCCTGGGAAGTGGAGGCAGCAGCAATTTCCGCATCAAAGTGGAGGAATCGGTGGATGGCAAGGTGGTTTCCTCCCACAAGAGAGACCTCTGAGCACCTGGTGCAGGAGGACCGGCCACTGCCCGTCCCACTGGCCAGAGGACTGGGAGGCGAACTCTGCCCCTGTCCTCAAGAGCACCCAGCTGACACGGGTCCCTGGGCCCCTGGTTGATGGCTTTCCATGTTCTCTGTCCCCCTGTCGCTCTCCCCATTTCCTCTGGGGTACAAGGGGCATCTGTCTTGGGTCACGGCTCATGCGTGCCGTGCCTGCTCCCACAATAAAGATTTGCTTTTCCTTTTCCTCCTGTGTGTAGTTTTCTTGGTGGGGGCCCTGGGTCCATACGCTGACATCTCCCCAGAAGGAATTCACTCTTCTGGGCAAACCCAGCGCATCTCAAGTGACCTTCCAGACCCACATGGTGGGGGCCCCACCAACTGAGGGCAGGGTGGTTCCTAGGGCTGCCAGGGCACCCAGCCAGGACGCCATGGCCGAGGCACTGACTGCATCCAGGAGCAGGGCTGGCACGATGCTGCACATACATGTCCATGTGGGCCCTGGAGCTGGGGACCTGAGGACTGGCCCGGGGGACAGTGGGCCTGCCTGGCTCTGCTGTCACCTGTGTGCTGCTCGGACCTCCCCTCCTTTCTGTCCTGGCACACTGGCCATCAGGTGGCTGGTCGGGTCCCATCTCTGGCCCCTGTAGTGCAGAAGCTGACGCCTCCTTCCAGAGGGAAGATCCAGGAAGACCTCCCTGATCGTCCCTAGCTCCTACCAACCACTCTCCCCATCACCAGCGCCTGCCCCGGGCCTGTTGGAGCATCGTGTTCATGCCCAGCAAGGGCAGGAAGGGGGCAGAGGCAAGTGCAAGGGCCTTGGATGGCTCTGGGGTGAGGCCTGGGGACAGCAGGGAGAGCTGGTTTGGCTAGAATCCGGTCTTGGGGCTCAGGCCTACCCCACAGCCTGGAGTGCAGAGAGGGAGGTAGCACCTGTTGTGTGGGGAGATTTGACTGAGTATGCGTCTCCTGGGGTCCCTGAGGTCCCCGCTCTGGGGCCTGGGCCATGCATCCAGTGTGTTACTCTCCCAGCAGCCTGTGGTGTGAGTGTGTACGCCAGCGTGAATTACAGAGGCAGAAACTGAGGATGGAGAGGTCGAATTCACAGCCGGAAATGGGGGTAGAAGTCCTGGCTGGACTCAGACCCAGACCCTGGGTTTTCCTTTGGTGTCACAGGAAATGCGCCGAAGCCGTATTTCCCTCCCTCCTTCCCCTTCCCCGCCTCTCTATCCCTTCCTCCCTGTGCTGGAGAAGGAACTCAGGGCTAGACACACAGACACGAGGCAGTGCTGCCCCCTGCCGAGCTGCACCCCAGCCCCGCACCCCTTCCTGAGCAGTCCCTGCTGGTCTGTCCAAGGGTCACCCACCTTTCCCACCGGAGGCACCCTCCTGGAACCCAATCTGCCTCGGGGGGGGGTTCAGGTTCTCATCAGCCTCCTGCCCCTGTGTCCCGGAACAGCCGGCTCCGGTCCAAGCCCCTGGTGGCCTGGCGGCAGCTTAGTTTGCAAACAGCATGAGCAACACAGCAGGGACAGTGAGGCCATGCCCGCACCCGCCTCTGGGGCCCAGACCCTGAGGTGGGGTAGGAAGGGGGGGCTGTTCCTGTGTCCCCCAGAGAGAGAGGTTGCCAGCCTGATCCTGAGCAGCTGCCCGCACCCTGGGATGGCTCACGCCCTGCTGAGCCTTTAAAAACCTCTGGGCTGAGCTTGCACACGGCACCTTCTGCGGTTTCCAGCCAACCTGGGGAGCAGGCTTGGAGAGAGGGTGTGTCTGTCCCTGCCCCAGCTGGGCCTCCAGAGCAGGCACAGGGCAGGCCTGCCACTGTCTCCCTGAGGACCTCTGCCGGTGCCACCCCTTCCTGGCTCTCAGTCTCCCCACCTGTAAACTGGCCGGACAGGGTGACTACCAGGTGCGCTGTGAGACCCTCTGCGCCCCAGGCCCCTGACAGCACCTGCCTGGGCTCTGCTGAACCCGCAGTGGGGTGCTTGGTTGCACCTGCGCTTGCTTCTGGCTTTGCTCTGCCTGAGACACTGCCCTGAATTCTCCATAATCCCGGTGTGTGCACACCTGGTGGCCACCTGCATGGGCGGCAGAGGGGATCAGTTCAGTCCAACGGCTTTTCTCCTGGGTTTTGGGCTCGGGGACCTGCTGGCTGCCCTCTCACCTGCCTGCAGGACCTGCAGGGTCCCTCAAACGCCCACTCTGACAGTCACCAGAGCAGAACTCAGAGTTACATTTGGCCGACGTCCTGTCTTCAGAGGAGCAAGGACGGCCCGGGAGACACAGGACAGGAATTTGCCAAGGGTCACTCGCGTGGTCACTGTGGGCGCCTACTGGCTGTGGGACCGGGGCAAGGAGCCGAGCCGGGCGTCACTGCCGGGTGGGACCCAAAGGGCTCTGGGACAGTCACCCCGCCAGGCTGAGCTCGCATTTCCTCCTGGGGGACAAGGAGGTCACCAGCCCTCGGGTGCCATCCCAGTGCCAGGGATGGAGGAGCCTCAAGTACTAATCCCACCTAATCCCTGTTTTCAAGCAGGGGCCAGGGAGGCTTTGAAAGGTTGCGTAACTTAAGGTCATAGAGGAAGTTGCTGGCAGATGGGGCACTGAAATTCAGGTTTGCCTCATACGCAGCCTCTGCTGACCTCGCTGGGCTTCTGAGGAGCCCGGTGATGACAAAGGGATTTCAGGGCTGGGCATGGCAGACGTGTGAGGGCTCAAGGCTGGTCCGATGTGACTTCTACTGGGGTCTGGCAGGGGAGCAGCTGCCCAGAAGGCCCCGGCCGGCTGTGTGCAGAGCGTCTGCCTTCAGAGAGGCCACTGCCCAGAGGGCTTCCAGAGTCCTTTTAGGGTGAGGTCAGCCTGAGTGCTGGGCCCCTTGCAGCCCTGGGAGGAAGGGAGGGAGGGGTGACCCACGCAGGAAAGGAGGAGACGCACGGGAAGCTCCAAGGATACCCGGCTCTGATGTGCGGCGCTGAGTGGGTTCCTCCCAAAGCCCCTGACGCTGGAGCCCAGCCGGGACCCAGTGCTCAGGCCGGCCCTGGGGGAAACGGCACTGTCCACAGGCCAGTGGGTGCTTGGTTCTGGCCGGCCCGAGAAGACGCCCTTGCCTGGGGCGAGTGGTGCTGCCCCCTTTGGACACAGACCCAGAGCTAGAGTTTGACCCTTGCCTTTGACACAGTTGAGCTTGTGACTTTGGATGGTGTTTTTAACCTCTCCGGGCCTCAGTTTCCTCATCTGATAAAAGGGTATAAAAATAGAGCAGGATTGTTTTGAAAAAAGATCGTGTGTTCAGAGTGTTTAACGTAGTGTTCGGCGAATGTCATTTTTAATTATCTCTTGGCAAAACCAGACTCTTGTTTCCTCCTCTCTGAACACGCTCGATGCAGAACACTTCTGCGACCTGTCGAGTGGATTTCTCCCTCCACCCGCAATCCTCTGGCCCCCGTGGGGAATCCACAGATCAGTTCCTTTCTGACCCCAGGCAAGCCCAGTCCGGCAGGGCAGCTCCCACTCCCACGCCCGTCACCCCAGTGAGCTCCCGGCTGGCCACAGTCTGGGGCCCCGGGGCCTCTTCCAGGGTTCGGTTGTCGCGCAGGAGCAATCTTGGAGACCTGGGGAGCCGGAAGTCATCAGGTGGCCAGGAGGTCACCACCCAGAGCTACCTAATGTTAGAACCATTAGAACTGGGAAATTCCAAGTGGTTAGGAACCCTGGGGCCAAAGACCAAATGTTAGAACAAAAGATGCTCTAAGCGCTCTATGGTCTAGGAAATTACTAAGGGTTTTGGGAGCCCTGTGCCAGGAGCCCAGGACGAAGACCCCAAAATATGCATGTTTTGTAGCAAACACAGAATCACCAAATAAAACACTCAGCGGTCAGGCCCAGGGCCAGGAGATAGGGGAGAGGGGGGCCAGATGTCAGATGTAAAGTTTTTTGAGGCGGTACCTGACTGTGTAGCCCAGGCTAGTCTCAAACTCATGATGATCTTCCTGCCTCAGCCTCCTGAGTGCTGGGATTATGAGTTTGTACCATCATATCTGGCACCCAGATGTGGATTTTTTTGATTTCATGGTGTCCTTAGGCAAGCAACTTGCCCTTTCATGCACCTCAGCTGTCTCATCTAAAATACCGAGCTAAAATCCCTTCCTCCTTAAAAAAAATTCAATTTTATTTGTACTTCTTTGCAGGTCATGTGGTTTACCACGGTCTTGAGGAGTGGCCACATGTACACGTTACAGCAGGTTTCTCTCTTCTTTTTTTAAAATCTCTTTCTACCTCCCTCCTCCTCCTCCTCCTCTCCATCTCCCTCCAGCTTCCCTGCCCCATTTTTCTTTCCTGCTGAATTTATTTGTCTTAGCTCCTGTTATGGCAGAAAATGTTTCCACGAATTGGGGCTACTGGGCTTCCGTACATGGCGTGTCTTTATTCTTCTTATTTCCCCTTCCCCTCTCCTCACCCTCACCTTGTTCCCTGGGGCCACTTTCCTAAGGCAAGAGACCCACCCCCTTGTCCCCTTCTATCCATCCTTTATCATTTTCTTGGTTTGTACTTTGCCTCACTCAAATGAGAGACACTGTAGGTACTGAAGCGTGTGCGTCTGGCTTATTTCACTCAACGTCATATCTTCAAGCGCACCCAGCTGGGCTACAAATGCCTCATTCTTTATAGCAGAGTAGTATTCCACTGTACATAGATACCACGTTTTCTTTATCTTTCCACCTGTTGTGGGTGTACAGGCTGCCTCCAGGGTTTAGCCATTGTGAGCTCGGCATGCCCGTGTCCCTGTAGCGGGATGGCCTACGCTCTTTGGGGAAGACGCCTGGCAGGAGCAGAGCTGGGCCACGTGGAATTCCTAATTTCAGTTCTTTAAAAAAGACCTCCCTGTTGATTTCCATTACAGCTGTAGTTTACGTTCCCACTAGCAATGCAGGAGGGTTCCTTTTTCACCCCAGGCTGGGCAGCATTTGCTACTGCTCAATCTCTTAGTGATGGCCTTCCTTTCCAGAGTAAGATGGAACCTAGCACTGTTTTAATTTACATCTCTCTAATGGCCGGAGATGGTACACACTTTTTCCACACATTTGTTGACCATTTGTATTTCTTCCTCTGTAAAGTGTCTGTTCATTTCTCTTGCCCATTTCTTGACTGGGTCTTTAATTTTAGGAGGTTTAATTTTTTTTGGAGGTTTAATTTTTCAGAGTTCTTTGTGTATTCTAGATATTTGTCCTCTGTCAGAGGAACAGCTGGCAAATTTTTTTCCCATTCTGTAGGCTGTCTTTTCACACTACCGATGGATCCTTTTGCTGAACAGATGCTTTTTAGTCTGATATAATCCTGTTCTTGTTGATTCTTGCTGCTGTTTCTCATGTGATTAAACCCTCCTCTTATTGTGAGACCAGCAATGTAGGCTCCTTCTCTTTCCAGATTCCCAGGGAGGGGACTGAAGTTGGTCTTATTATGCCAAAAAAGCAAAGCGGAAAGCTTAAGACTAGCCAGCACTGACCCCACTGTCCGGGGCAGAGCGGGAAGGTGGTCCCCAGGCCCAGGGTTCTCTGAGGTCCAGGAAGGTGCGGCTGCTCCTGAGGGCAAGGCCAGCCTGACCCAGGAGGAGCGGCTGAGGCCCCTGTTTCTGGCCAGGCTTTGCAAGACTGGCTGCATTGTTCCTCCCGGAGCAGAGGCGTTGGCCCTAACCCGCTCTGCAGCCCTGGAACATGGGGCCCTGTCCCCGCGGGCCCAGCAGGCTCTGTTCCTCGGCTCCTCGTCACGTTTGACCTTCCAGTGCTGCTGCTTTGGGCTGAATCACACCTTTCTGAGGGAGGGTGGAGCCATCTGCTAGGGCAGGGCCTGGGGCAGTCAAGGCCTGGCTTCTGCCATGTTCGGGCACTGTGCTGGCCCCGGCTCTCGCCCCGCACTGGCACCCACCCACTGGGTGGGCACGAGCCTGCGTCCCTGCTCAGAACACAAAGCGCTCCAGAGCCCTGATGCAGATCTCATTTCTGGATGTGCAGAGTCAACAGGGGGTTCCAGGGCGGCCTCACCCGGACGCCATGCCGTCTCTGCCCACACCGGGGCCACGCAGACCCTGGGCCCGGCTTCAGGCTGGGAGCCCAGGCCTTGGTGCTCCTTGCTCTGCCCTTCCTTTCCAGCCTGCATGGTGGCCTCCTGTGGCAGTGTCACTGCAAGTCCCTGAGCGTCCCAGCCACGCCCCAGGGTCCAGGTCTTGGGCCACACCCCCCCGTGAGGCTTGAGTGGGAGCTCCCAGGTGTCATGGCGGGGCTCCGTTCAGGCCCCAGAGACCTTCCCCCACGGCTGTGTTTCTCCAGCAGTGAGCGTCAGAGGGTATTAAACCATGGCCAGACGGGGCCTGGGCTTCTCAACTCCAGCGCCACTGACTCCGGGCCGGAAACCCTGGGCCGTGGGCCTGCCCTGTATAGGGTCTCTACCTTCTGGAGCCTCCCCCGTCTGTCGCAGTGAAGTTATCTCCAGGCACTGTCAGGTGTGGCCCTGGCTGGGGAGCTCTGGAGGGATCCGGGGCAGTGGTTGGGAGAGTGGTTACAGTTATGTCCCAGGTGTGGGTGACCGGGGAAGGCACCGCACCAGGATCTCGGAAGGCCAGGAAGCACTGATTAGGCAGGGCCCACACAGGCAGATGTGCATCAGGCCGGGTCCTTGTGATTTACACATTTTGTTGCATGGAAAACATACGTAAAGTGAGTCTTCGTGTGGGAGAGAACCAGACTGGGGTTTGGTCCTGAGCCTTCCCAGCAGGTGTGGGGTGAGAGAGGACTGATCTCTGGGGCGGCTGAGAAGAACAGACGGTGAGTGAAAAGTCTGCAGCCCGGGGCCCGCAGAAGGCAAGGGCTCTGAGACGTTACAGGGCCACTTCCTCTTCCTGTGCCTCAGTTTCCCCAGCGCCGTTCGTTTCTCAGTGCTCCAGGTCCCTGAAGGGCCCCATCACTGTTAATTTTCTGATTGTCTCGGGGCTGTTTCTTTATCAGCCTAAACATGTTCAAGGTGGTTGATTGTACAAGCTCAACCTCTGTCAACCGAGCGTGATGAGGCCCAAGTACTAGGAGGGGCCCAGGACTTTCCAGCCAAGACAGAGCCAGAAGGAAGGGTGGCCTGGGGCTGCGGTGACCTCTCCAGACACAGGGCCACTTTGCAGCCGCCCCTGCTGCAGACCCTGTGCCGCGTCTCCATTCTCACCTGGGGTGGGGTTGGTGCCCGCAGAGAGCTCCTTCGGAGAGGTGAGCACTCAGCCGTCAAAGGGCAGATTCGGCAGAGGGCTGCTCCCGCTGAATCATCCCTTTTGTTAAGGATTAAAAAAAATCCACCCTAAAAGACACAACCCACCCTAGAGATCAGAGGTCACCGGGCTTGTGGGAAATAGAGTGTCCCTGGCACGGAGTCAGAAGGTGGAGAGGGGAGGAGAGGTGTCCCACCCTGAGCAGGGTGCATAAAAGGTGTCCAGGCTGGGGAAGAGCCACTGTCCTCGGCCCAGCTCAGCTCAGCTCCTGTCTGCTCCTGCTCTCCATTTCGCTCCCAACATGAGCTGTCGCCTACAGAGCTCAGCCGCCAGCTATGGAGGTGGCTTTGGGACTGGCTCCTGCCAGCTGGGGGGAGGCCGTGGCTTCTCCACCTGTTCCACCCGCTTTGCCTCCGGAGGATCGGCGGGAGGCTATGGGGGTGGCATGAGCTGCGGCTTCGGCGGCGGGGCTGGTAGTGGCTTTGGAGGTGGCTATGGAGGCAGTTTTGGCGGTAGCTACGGGGGCAGCTTCAGTGATTTTGGCGGTGGTGATGGCGGCCTCCTCTCCGGCAATGAGAAGATCACCATGCAGAACCTCAACGACCGCCTGGCCTCCTACCTGGACAAGGTGCGTGCCCTGGAGGCGGCCAACGCCGACCTGGAGGTGAAGATCCGCGACTGGTACCAGAAGCAGAGCCCGGCCAGCCCGGAGAGGGACTACAGCCGCTACTTCACCACCATCGATGAGCTCCGGGCCAAGGTGAGTGAGCGCAGGGGACCAGCGTGGCTGGAAACTGTACCTTCCTGCAGGGCCAAGTCCTGAGTCCCCTTCTAGAGTCTTTGCCCCTGAGGGTCTTTCTCACGCCTCAACTCCCCAAATTTGCTTTCTCCCGTTATTCCTGTTCACTGAGGTTATTTCCCAGGTCAACAATTTTTATGGCTTCCGAGTGATGAATGACTTTATCTCTGGGCTCTTTGGGGCCATGGCAGCTTTGAAAGCCACCGTGAATGACTCAGATCGATGGAGAGGGAAAGACGTGTTCATGCACGGATCTGGGGTTGAGTGTTTATTTTGGAGGGAGCCACTGAAACTGTTCTTTATTGGTGAAGCTGAGTGGAGGCGAAACAGAGGCTCAGGCAGGGCTGGGCCCGCTGCCTGGGGTGAAGCCTGCCCCTCACTCGGGGACACCGGTGTATTGGAATCCGCTATGCTGGCCGGAGCCCCAGCTGCATGGGTGGGCTTTCTGGGCTTTGGACAAGTGGATGGGAGCTGTGGCTGGGAGGCGAGCTCCAGGGACATTACTAAGGAACATGTGACACCGAGTCCCTTTGACCTTGGGGATTTAGCGGCCTGGGGAGGTGGCAGGTCTGAGGCTGCTGACTCCCAGAGATGTGCTCAGTGGTGTGGTTCCCCTGGAAGGCACATCCGGGTCCCCCATCCTGAGACAGGAAACGCTCAAGTAACAACAGAGCTGTCCCGCTGTCACCATCCGGAGGAGGAACTGAGCCCAGAGACAGGAGCCTTGTCCCTGCTCGAGGAAACAGGGGTCCAGCCCTGGCTGGGTTCTGCTCCCCAAGCATGGGATGCTCAGGAGGCCACTTTCTTGTGCATTCTGTAGATCTTGGCAGCCACCACTGACAACAACCGGATCGTCCTGGAGATTGACAACGCCAGGCTGGCTGCAGATGACTTCAGGCTCAAGTGAGCTCATGCCCCTCCTCCCAGGCTGTGTCTCCTTCTGATCAATCCGCGCTGTGTGCGGTCAGGGGAGGGGGCGTGTGCAGTATGGGTTGTCTCTTGCTTTGGTTCCACATAATTTTAATATTTTAGGTACGAGAATGAGCTGACCCTGCGGCAGAGTGTGGAGGCCGACATCAACGGGCTGCGCAGGGTGCTGGACGAGCTGACCCTGTCCAAGACCGACCTGGAGATGCAGATCGAGAGCCTGAACGAGGAGCTGGCCTTCCTGAAGAAGAACCACGAGGAGGTGGGGGGGGGTCACATCGGGAGGGAAGGGACAGTGGGAGTCGCAGAGAGACGGGTGCTTTACAGCCTTCCTCCCCGTCCCCGCAGGAGATGAAGGAGTTCGGCAAGCAGGTGGTCGGCCAGGTCAACGTGGAGATGGACGCGGCCCCCGGCATTGACCTGACCCGTGTGCTGGCCGAGATGAGGGAGCAGTACGAGGCCATGGCGGAGAAGAACCGCAGGGACGCCGAGGCCTGGTTCCAGAGCAAGGTGAGGCCCCTCCTGGCCCACATGGCCGGGGTGCTGCAGGCGGATGCGGCTCTGGGGCGGGGGCCTCCAGCTGAGCTCCTCCATCACCTTCTCCCACCTGCTCGGCTTCCAGAGTGCGGAGCTGAACAAGGAGGTGGCCTCCAACACGGAGATGATCCAGACCAGCAAGACGGAGATCACGGAGCTGCGGCGCACGCTGCAGAGCCTGGAGATCGAGCTGCAGTCGCAGCTGAGCATGGTAACCCTGCACCTGCGCCGCGCCACCTCCAGGGCTCCCTCCGCCACTCCTCCTCCATGTGACTCGGCCTTTTTTCTGTCATGCCAGAAAGCCGGGCTGGAGAGCACCTTGGCGGAGACCGAGTGCCGCTACGCCCTGCAGCTGCAGCAGATCCAGGGCCTCATCAGTGGCATCGAGGCGCAGCTGAGCGAGCTGCGCAGCGAGATGGAGTGTCAGAGCCAGGAGTACCAGATGCTGCTGGACATCAAGACGCGGCTGGAGCAGGAGATCGCCACCTACCGCAGCCTGCTGGAGGGCCAGGACTCCAGGTCGGTCCGCGGGCGGCAGCTCCCTCCAGGGAGACCCAGGCCTCTCCCAGGGGGCCATGGGCCGGCATCTGTCCCCCATCTGTCCTGGGAAATGATTGGCCAGCACGCGGCTGGGGCAGGCAGAGCCATGAGCAAGGCGGTGTGAGACCGGGAGGATGGGCCCGGGCTGAGGGGCCTCTGGGGGCGGTCGGATCTTCTGCAGACGCCTTGAAGTGGAGACCACTGGCGGCTTCTCCCGAGGGCTCTCAGAGGCAGCCAGCCAGGCGGGCGGACAGGCCCTGCCCCAAGCCGGGCTCCCGGAGCCGGCCGTCCCTGGCTCCCTCTGCTAACACCCTCTCTGTCCTTCCAGGTTGACTATCTCCGCCTCCCCTACAGGTAGGAGCCGCT